CCGCCGAGGGGGGGGGGGGGGGGGGGGGGGGGGGGGGGGGGGGGTGGAAGCCTCATTAAAAATAATTCCAATAATTCGGTCGTAATAATGTTGAAAATTACAATATTTTTGTTCGCCGCGAAACAGCCGTTCCAACAAAAACAAACCCCAATGAAATGATAATACACAATTAATCATGAGAAATATGTCGCCTAAGATACTATCGGATATTCAAATCTCATATTCATACGAAATTAGATTTTTATATAACACCGTTAAATTTAGCGCCACTCCGCGCGGCGGCATAACCACACTCACATATTATTACGCGTACACCTATGAGGCATACCTACGTCCACGAGGCACGTAATTGAAAGTAAAGTGTGCATGCGTGGCAGTGCGGCAATGCCCCACTACGTATAATAAACCCATTTGAATGGAATACCCACATGCGTTGCTCCGCTGCGAAAATTCGCGTGGACGGACGCGCGCGCGCGCACATACGTGAATTTACGAGCGTGTGTACTTTGGATGTACTTCTGTTGCCTGGTAATACATAAAATGTATCTTTGACTTCCATATGCATGGTCCGCGCGCACCGCAGCGTTATCACACGCCTGCGAAAAGTCGCGTGCACATGCTGCCGGTACACCACAACCACCACCACCACCTCCTCCTCCTCCTCCTCCTCCTCCTCCTCCTCCTCCTCCTCCTCCTACAATAATGCTGGGAGTATCAAAGCCTCCGTCTAATTTTATAGGGAGTCACCTACTCTTATACTTACGAGCTTTTTTTCCTTTTTGGCTCAACGCCGTCGTGCCTTTGCTCGCTGAACAGGCAGAGCGTCAGTACCTACCACCACGCGCGAATAATTTTCTTTCGCTAAAAGAACCCTCGTCTACCTCCTAACCGTGATCGATAAATTTATTTGCCCTTAATAGCGTATTTTCTTAATACTCGAATCTCAAAATTTGCGATGAAAGAAGAAAAATTCACTAACATGTGCCCGCAACCGTGCACACCAACACACTCGCTATATCGTATTTAATACATGTGCACGCGTGTACACGTTCGCTTATGTACATGCATATATATATGCATATATACATATACATATACATATATATATATATATATATATATATATGCATGAGCGCGCGCGCTCTCACACAGCCATATGTAAAATAAAATCTTGCGTTCGTGTCTTTCTTAAGATTCTTAAGCGTTATCACATAGAATGGTAAAATGTACTTTAACAATATCGTATAGATGAGAATTTCCGTTTTAAACAATTAAACAAGACTTTAACGTTTCACTCACCCTTCTCATTTTTAAGCAACTCCATTCTCACTATATTTCGCAGACAAAGTGTAATCGTCGCGCGAGCTTGATAATTATATTTAAGACGCCAAAAAAAATTATTAGAGACGGCCGATAAAGCTGATCTTGTCTGATGAAATTCAATATTTATTCTAATTCGGTGAATCGCCAGCAGATAGCGAAATCACGTATTTCAAAAACATCGGCATCATTCGCGGATAGGGTTAACGATACATTGACAAATTATCATCGAGATAATCGAGCGAATCGTTGAGCATGGCCAGCCTTAAATGATTTGTCCCCCGCTGCCCCCATTTGCCTCCTACACGTCCCCATCGTCGCCAATCTATTCGAACGCACACAGGAGCTAACTAACTATTCCACAAATCGCGATCGATCGTAACGAGCGGCATTTAAGTCTGGTAGCTGCTCAGGGGCTGCAGCTAGGCATCCATTAGCTTAGACTTAACCTTCACCGCTCGCTCTCAATCAGTTTCTTTTTTTTTTTTTTATCTCTTCTTTCTTTCTTTTTTTTTTCCTTTACGCAAATGGATTTGCAAATTGCACGACATTGATGGCCATAAGCTATAGCATTGTAGGAGAACCTCTTCTCTTTGCCTTTAATATTCTAATATTACAAATAATTCGTATGTTAACGTTCGTAGCTTGGACAAATAGATTAAATTATGGTAAATATAGTCACGTATTGACTAATCTTATTATAAATCTCAACGTCTCACTGGCCTAGTCATTCCTAGTCACCTCATTGCCAATTTGCCTGCATGAATTATTTACGTGCCTTATGTTATTTATTTTTAGATAAAACACGTTGGAAGGAAATTCAATCGCACGAATAGTTTTTCTGCGGCCTTTACATCCATGAAAATGCTCTCTACGCAGGCTGATACAGGTAGTCAAAAAAACACAAGTATGCATAAATTTTGACATGACCCTTTCAGTTATTATCTCTTGTCAAATTTAATAGCTGAGTATTGTAATATTGTCTTGGATAAATTATATAATGCATATAAAAATGATTTTGTAGGGTAGAATTTGTTTTCTTCCCTAATAACATTTAAATACGCCTATATATTTATATTCTTTATATAATGTAAGAAGATATGCATTCTAAGAATTTTCCAAATGTATTTTATGTTTGACAATAGAGATGGATCATTATATAAAGTAGAGTTAGTAATTATATAGTTCCAAATAAATTTCCAATAAATCCAAAAATAATTATATAGTTCCAAAATATAAAATTTTTATAAAAATTTACAAGTAAACTTACCTGCTAAGCGTGCAAAATCACATAATCGAGTGTAATTTTATTTTGCATAAGCATTATAGGGCATTTTCATTAGAAATACAATTAATAAAATATTCTTTAATAACTTTGATAAAACATTCCCTTCGATGCATTATATTATTTATATTCCATAAGTTATCATCAAATATTCAATTGCTCCGCCAAATGTATCTTTCAATTAATAAATTGCAAAGTTTATAACAATAAACGATACGTTTATGACATTATATTATGTGTGTAACATAGTAATTTAAAAAAAAAAAAAAAAAAAAAAAAAGACATCATTTTATCATACAAGCTTTTAAAATTTCTAAATATTTTATCAAATAAAATATATAACAAAATTTCAGTTTTATCGAAGACTTCTATACCTGAAACTGATGTCATAATAAATGATGTAAGTTTAATTATTCATTCATTTCTTGAAAAGAGTCAAAACTTACGCAAGCCAATAAAAATATTTTACATTTATTATTATAATAGTCTGGAGCATGTGGTGTTCTGGTGTTAAATCGTCCAAAAGCTTTGAACGCTTTAAATCTGTCCATGGTTCAAAAAATATATCCAATTCTTAAACAATGGGAACAGACAAAGAAGTTAATTATAATAAGAGGGACCGGAGATAAAGCATTTTGTGCTGGAGGAGATGTCAAATCATTGGTTTTGGCTTTGAGTCAACCAAATGGTGATCAATTGGGAAAAGATTTTTTTAAAGCAGAGTACACGTACGTTTGATTAGAACTTATATGTAAATAAATCATCGTTAAAATTAAAAGTTTTTTCACTTTTATGACTGCAAAGAAAATTTCAAATGACATGATTAATGAAATTTTATTACCTATACTACTAATTATAACAATGACAATCATAATATTGATAATAATAATAATATTGATAATAATAATAATAATAACAATAACAATACTAATAATAATAATAATAATAATAATAATAATAATAATAATAATAATACAAAATTGATTATTTTCTATATAGAATTTAGCAGTGGCAAGTATAAAATATTAAATAAATTGAAAATTTTAAATACTTACATTGTTTCAAGTATAAATAATTCTAATTCAATGTTCATACAAACTTACTCCTTATAAGCATAAAAGATATATTCCACATATATATTAACACTCATACATACTTTAATCGCTACATTAATCCACTTAATATTTTAGTATTCATCAGAAATATTGCACTTGAGAATATGTAGTTACGTAACTATGTAATATAATTTTGTCTTAAAAAAAATAAGTAATATCTTCAAAGTGAATAGTTATTAAAATAAGATAATTGAGATTTAAAGATTATTCTAATCAATTTCAAGCAAGTAATAATAATTCATAAGCATGCATATTCTACGTTTATACGAAAACTCTCAACTCATCAAAGTAATTTAAAATTCTAATTTCAACCGCATTTAGTATGTTTTTCAAAAATTCTATTCAGTACAAAGTTCGATTTAACTTTTATTTGGCCTTATAAGAAAAACATATTAACTTTTGTAACTTACATTTGTATCTTTGTTGATGTTGGACATAAATTTTCAATATTGAACAATTACAGCTTAAATCATCTCATTGGTACTTATAAAAAACCATATATTGCCTTAATAAATGGAATAACAATGGGAGGAGGTGTCGGTTTGTCTGTCCATGGTAAATACAGAATAGCCACTGACAAGACGTTATTTGCTATGCCAGAGACAGCGATCGGCTTATTTCCCGATGTGGGTGGCTCATACTTTTTATCAAGGCTTAAAGGAAAGTTTGGATTATTCTTGGGCTTGACCGGATATCGACTGAAAGGTATTTAATTATTTTCTTATCTTGAGACTGATTAACACTTGATACTCTTTTAATCTTATTACTTTATTTTAAAAAGGTGTTGATGTGCTGCATGTTGGAGTTGCAACTCACTTTGTTCCATCCAATAAACTTGAATCTGTATACAATGAATTACTTTTACAAGATTCGGACATTGATAAAGTTCTAGAACAATATCTACCAAAGAATATAAAACAGGAGTTTAGTTTAAATCCTTATACTGAAATAATCAATGAATGTTTTTCTGCCCCAACGGTCGAAGAGATCATCAACAGGTAATTCCATACATTCCATTACATAAGTATTTTTGCTAATTAATGTTGCTTAAATAGGCTAGAGGCAAATAAATCAGAATGGGTACAAAATATCATAAAAATGCTTAATAAAATGTCACCCACAGCCCTTAAAGTAACGAAAAAAGCTATTGACGAAGGAAGTAAAAAAAGTTTAGCAGAATGTTTGATAATGGAATATAGATTAGTTTGCGCTTGTCTTAAGAAAAATAGCGATTTTGCTGAAGGTAATTTTATTTCTCATTCATTGTTAAATAATATTTTCATAATATTAATTATAATTTTAATTATAGGTGTACGAGCATTATTGATAGATAAAGATCAAAATCCACTTTGGAATCCTACAACATTAGAACAAGTTTCAGACGATATTGTAGAGAAAAGATTTACACCATTACTTCAAAATGATTTAAAGCTATCGAAATTATAATATTATGTAAGGAAACAATTTATATATAAATGTAAATTTATCGATGTCTTCTCAAAATTTGTATGCATTTAATAGCACTTTCTTCTATATGTATATACACGCGCGCAGGCACGTACATTTCATGTATATGTGTGTTACGACGCATGTGTCGAGTCACAATAAAAAATATCTATTTTCAACCATATTAAAATTAATTTTGACATTTAGATGTGTAAATTAAATGCTTTTAGTATAAAAACATTGTTTTTATTCATGTAAAATTAACCAAGAAAATAATGCACGTATAGTACCTTACAACTATTGCAGATGCACAAAAAACATGTCAGTCATTACTAAGTAAACCAATCACGCAATCAACATGAAGCATCAATTATCTTTTTACAATAAATTTGCTAGTTTGTGTAATCATTCACATATTCGCTTATTGAAAATAACATTTAAAAAAATTTGATAAAAAACAAAGTTCCTTCCATATAGTGAAGAAAGTTACAGCATTATTACGAGTGATAGTTTAACTATCTTTGGAATATTTTATCAGAGATGAGTCAACGATATTTATAATAATAATAATAATAATAATAAAAAGAAAATTAAATAAAAAACTTGAAGATCATTTTTTTTTTAAATGGCTTATAATTGTCATAGCAACATTGTGATCAATTTGAAAACGTCCAAAAGATTGATTTAATTATTTGCTAGGTAATTGCAATAAATTATTGTTCATACGCTTGAATGTAATGAAAATTTAATATTACTTAAATTATTTGTTATGGTATTTGGGTAGGATTATTTTTTTTTTTTTATTTTTATTATTTTTTTTTTTAACCAAAATTAACGTAAGTTTCTCTGTATAGGTAAAATAAAATTATTATACAGTAATTCAGTGAATTTACAAATGGTTTCAATCGCGCACAATATACTGCGTAGCATATGTAAAGAAATAAGTTGTAAAGATGTCTGGACTTCTTAAGCAATTACTTTATTAGCAATTTCGTTATCAAAATTTTTCAACCACTCCTCAGTATGTCACTGTACTCACTAAAGTAAATTTTAGAGAATAATAAAAATTTTAAAGAATTCAATAGAATTCATTTTCATCATAGAGAAGTATGTCGATTTGAAGCGGCCTTAATACCACAGGAATCGATCTTACAGCTATACTAATCGTCATTATACATAATGTTCCTGCCTTGTGTTTTAAATTCGCTGAAACCCTCACCTATTATTTATTTATTTATTTATTTATTTATTTTTTATTTTTTTTTTTTTTTCGTAAAAATTAACATCATCCTGTTGTACTAATGCCAATATGCAGAATGAATCATTGTTTAGGAATTATGAATTACTGGATAGTTGAAGTGTTCAAATTTTAATTACGTGCATTCAGTCAATGTACTGCGCAAGCCAGCGAAAACCCTCACCATAACCTTGCCTCTTCAGTACGGAGCACATGAATAATTCTAAGGGACGGCCTGGAATATCACTGCGTGGAATTTTACCCTAAAATTAATTAAGGATAGATAATTTCAATTTACTATATATGCCTGCTAACGACAGCTTTCTTTCAATTATGCAAAACTACAAAGTAGACTAAAATTGTGACCAAAGATTAAAAAAAAGTACAAGATATCGCATGCAGATTAACTAAATTAATTTGATATTTGTAATTTAAAATATTCTCGTTATGATTTCATATTTCTCTTTCATATATTCAATAAGCCATTCAACTTTGTTTGCTCTTAAAGTGTGGAAAAAGATACGAATTCCCATACCTTTCCAGTCGTTTGTCCAAAAAGATTAAAGAAATTCCTAAGTTCATCTTCGGATGCTGCACCAGGCTTATCAATTTTATTGCCAAGAATAAGCACCGGGCATATACTCAATTGCTCGTCAGTCACAAGTACATCTAATTCTGCTCTAGATTCATTCAGCCGAAATCTATCGCTAGCATCTACCAAAAACACTATTGCATCAACTGCTGGAAAATAGTCTTTCCAAACTCTTCGAGCTAATACAAAAACAAAAAGTAACTTACTGATTGTACTTATGAAAACTCAAGTACAATAATTAACTCATCAAATATTACCTTGAGCATGACCACCAAGATCAAAAGTGGTAAACCTCATGTTACCAATAGATAATTCCTCTGATGCTGAAACAAAATAGATTACATATTTTTACAATCATAACAACGATAATATAATAATTATAATAATAACAATAATAATAGTGTTACTTATTTAAAAAAAAAACAAATATATTAAAATTAACTTTATGACAGTAACTCATAGTCTCAATTTTATAAAATTACAGTTAAAAAGTTTATACGAAACTTTATAAATTAACGATCAAAAGTCATCGATAGAGAAACAATAGTGCAATAATTATTTTCTATTGTTTATCTGGCGAATAATGATAAAAATAGAACTATCAATAAACTGAGAGAATTTTTTTGAGGGAAAGAAAAATTATATTATAACGATCACTTAACTCTTGCATAAGCTTTTGGAAAATACCGTTTCTCTTCAAATAACTAACATCTACAAATATGCTAGACTCAACGATTATTAATATAAATAACTTTATAGAGAAATCGTTCAATTATAAAAAGAACATTCTGATACATGTTAAGGACTATTGATAATTCTGAGCTATGAAAATGTTTAACATCTAGGAAATCTATGAATTAAGGAAAAGTAATAAAAGATGTTAGAAAAGGAATTACTTTTTTTTTTAAATTATTTGTAAATTAGAATTTAGACATATTAGTCTACTTAATAATATATATTCAAATATTAATTGTAAATAATATTTATTTTTTATTAACTCTTGGTTATATTATGGTTATGTTAGATAAAATTACTGTCAATTTAAAAAATTTCATATTTTCATTCAAATTAAATGCGTTAATAGTTTCAAATTTTACAAATTATAATGATTCGATAGTTACCGTGCAACATCATTGTATGTATCTAGAATAACAGAGTTTGTACTTTCAATTTAATGTTAATAAATATGTTAATTACTTGGATGCAAGGTAGGTACGTGTTGTGCGAGTCGATCATCTTTAAGCATGTGAAGTAACGTTGTTTTACCAGCATTATCCAGTCCAAGAAACAATAGCTTTCCACTTTTTTTCCACAGTCCTAAAACGAATAAGCACAATCATCATGCATACGATGATTCATCTACTTACACTAAAGTTCTATCGGTTTCTCAGCAATTAGATACATTTATAACCGAACGTTGACCAAGATCGAATAAGCCAAGAATAGCAATTTTCTACGCCAAACGAGCACTTGCAAATCTAGAGGACTTAACGATAAATCTGTGCCAAAATCACACCGTTCAACTTCTATTCAAATTCAACATAAAATTAGTGAATTTCATTTGGTATTTTTGGAGTAAGAGAGTCGTCTCAAGCTAACTTCTTCACGAGTATTATTTTATAATCATAATAAACGATAAAATAAGTGTGCGTATATGCAATGTGTGGGGGGGGAGGGGGGTATATATATATATATATATATATATATATATATATATACGCGCGCATACGTGTAAATCAGTACACAAATTGCACGCGCGCAATCGAATTCACATGCATGCATATGAATATACACGCCCCAGATCCATTCTCGCACACGCGCGCAAAGAAGCAGCAGCCAGACAAACAAATAGCAGACACACGAGTATATATATGCATACCGGGAATATATGCATATGCATGTATGTGGCGCTATAATGCATCGACGAGAATTATATTGTACGTATTGAAAAATGCAGGTTAAACGAACGTTAAAATTCAATATTCTTCGATACTATTCCAGCTGTGTATGCCCATAATTTGCTCACCGCCACAGCGTACTTCATTCTATAATTGTAATTGTCAATGATCATTCGCTTAATAAGAATATCGAGGATTTAATAGACGGTTGCCAACGCTCGTGAATCGGCTAAGAGCAAGGAGTTGTGTCGGCCTTACCAGTCCCCGAGAGCAGTCCACGAGCGTGCTTTCCCACCCGGAACTCCAACGTGTAAAGGTCAGCTTGAGACGTTAATATAAAAACGCGTTGGGTACTGACGATAATCGCGGGAGCGGGGATGGACGGTAGGTAGCTGGTAGTCGCGAGTCGTGCTCCAGCAGAAAAACGGGTTGGCAGGTCGTGGGGCAAGAGGCTTTTTTAGACTTACCAAGGTAGCCCAGAACCCCGGTGAACCAGTCCCAAATAAACATGTTCCAGGCTCGGCTGCGCGCACTTCTGCTCGAGTGATCGGTGTCCCGGTATTATCGAGACTGCTGACTCTCCCGATGACTCTGCAACAAAGATAAGTCCTCGTCGTCGAGAGGCCTCCTGCTTTATTATTCGCGTGCGTGCATAAGCGAGCGCGTAAAGCAGACAGAGACGGGCATAGCAGAGAAGAGAATTTCTCTGGCTGTTTTATATATCGGCTCTGACGCTGTACACTACGAATATACTTGTACTAACCAGCCCAACAAGCGTGATTTTTTGTCACTACGCACCAGGCACGCGCGTCGCGTATGTATGCCTGTCTCGAGCTGACCGTCTGACAAGATACTCTCTTTCTCTTTCTCTCTCTCTCTCTCTCTCTCGCTCTCTCGCTCTCTCGCTTTTTCGACGCCTCCCCCCTCCCTTGACCAACTCTCCAACTCACTCGTTTTCTCGTCGCGTTACGTGAATACGTGCGCGTGCGTGCACATTCGTATGTCGGCTTGCGTGTCTCTCTCTTTCTCAATTTTCTTCCTCTATCCGTTTCCCTCGTTTTCTCATAGTAAACGCGACTCACTCTTTCACTCTCACTCTCTCTCTCTCTCTCTCTCTCTCTCTCTCTCAATCTATCTATCTCTATCTCTATCGTTCCAATCTCAAGGCGGTAGTAGCCACATATTATTTTGAATTTCAAACAATGGATTTTAGCATTTCTTCTTGTCATTTGTCTATTCGAGGAAATTGAATCGCGAATTTGCATGGGATTGGCTTACGATTGCGTTGACTCGACATCAAGTACATCTAACAGTTGGGATCGCTGGCTCTTTCTTCGAGCACATGTCAGAGTGGTGCTTTCCTTTATTTACCATCGATTAGAACATTGAACATTAGTCGCCGAGACTAATTATTTTACGGTAGTTTATGTTTCTTGCAAGTCCATCGTTTATTTCAAACACGAGCTGAGTCACGGTTAATGCAACAACGAAAACAATTGGCCAACCTTGGGACGTGCGACATAACGTACAAATATATCTCCTACGTGAAGAAAGACGTACATGGCAGGCAAGTTTTAGCGGGGGAAAAGCCGCGAGGTCGGGAGAGATGGAATATTAGATACTCTCCCTCGGCTGTTCTCACACGTATGCACGCACACGTCATTACAAATGCATCATCCACAAATGCATTCAATAAACTGTTTCATTACAAACTAAATAACGAATGGCCCCTATAATGGTCGTTTCTTTCGGTTCCCATGTATTAACACAACTCGCCCCCCCCCCCATCCACCCACCCTCCTGCAAAACACTCTGCCACCCCACACACGATATAGTTCTCTCTCTCTCTCTCTCTCTTTAATCGGTCCGATACTCGTGTCCAAGCTCTAAAACTATACGGTGAAAAAGACTTTTTTTTTTATTTTTTTTTTTAAACAATGTTCAGCCCTACGATACAAATAAATCTCTAACAAATTTTTGTTTACGCGATTACCGAGAGATTTCACAAATTTATAAAGGCACTGTGCAGTATCTGGAAGGGAAGGGGCCCCGAGGGAGGGCCTAGTGCCACCGAGCCAATTCTCAAAATCCGAGTAAAGCTTAATTAATAGAGAGCTCTGCTCCTAACCTTAACCCCTCAGCAAGATCGCGAGCAAAGCTAAATAGAGAAATGCGCTTTGATTCCGCAAGTAATATTACAGTGTCAGTTTCCGTTTAAACGAGAGAGAGAGAGAGAGAGAGAGAGAGAGAGAGAGAAGAGGTGAAAAAGTAGGAGGAGGAGGAGGAGGAAGAGAAAGAGAAAGAGAAAGAGACGATAAATGAGAGGGTGAATAAAGCAGAGCGAGAGCGAGAGAAGAAAGGAGCAGCGGTGCTCTTAGAATACAGCACACACGTTAGGGGTCCGTGTGGTGGGCGCGCGCGCGCGCGCGCGCCCGCGCCTTGCTAAGCACTCGAGCTCGAATGGATAGAGAAGGTTACGCCCGTGAGTCCGCGGTCTTTTCGGTCGGGGCCGGTGCGAGCCGACGGCGACGAGTCACTGCCTCCTGGACCCCTTACAGTCCCCACAACATACCCGATGACTGAGCTGCGAGACTTGGACGACGAACGGCGTTCCAGGCGGGAGGCGCCAGAAAAAACGATCGCTCCTTTTTTCCTTCCTGAGCTGCCTGTCGCGCGCGATCTCCCACATACACGGACTTTCGTCGGTTGGCTGTGGCGTTCTGCTGACGTCTACTTCCGTCGGCCATATTGTTGTCGACGAATCGCATGCATGTGTATGGGTTGGGACTCGGAGCGGCCGCCGCCGAGGCGCGAAGTTTCATTTGGATTTTTTTACCCCTACTCGGTTTCGATGGACTTTGCGCGCCACGCAACTGCTGCGCCTCGATCAGCCAATATTTAACCCAACAAATGTTTTATCATCGCCCGTATTGTATTAACGCGTGGCTACTACTACCTACAACTGTCGTGGCCGGAACTTGACTGGCCGTTTGGGCGATAAAAAATCCATTGATAATCGAACGTTTCGAACGTTTCGAACGTTTCGAACGTTTCGAACGATTCGTTTCGCTACTATAAGGATTCGACATTGGCTCGGCCGTTTGGTCACACGGCATCGGTAGTGCCGTTTGGCATTGAATCAAGGCGTCTTATAAGGCCCATAAGGTAGGAGATGAGAGGATTAGAGATAAAGCGCTCTTGAAATATTAATATAAGCAGTTATAATGGCCGAAATAATGGAGTAAGTCGGGGGTGTAGAGTAGGTGGGGAAGTATTTATCTTTCGCGAACCTTGGCAATGCAAATTGATGGGACGCCGCGTAGCGAAAAGTGTATAAATAAAATGCAAAAGCACTTGATGAGACTGTAGTAGTGAAGGTTCAAGGGTAAACTTAGCCGACGTTTATGTAAATGTCGCGGTAAGAAGAATTCTAGAAGAAGAAGAAAGAAGTTTTTGCATGTTGCGTGATGCGAACAAATACGCGTGTGTACGTAATTACTTTTCTTTCTTTCTCTCTCTCTCTCTCTCTCTCTCTCCCTCTCTTGTCCATTATTTTCTTTGAATAAATTGAGAAAAGTTTGCATGGGACCGATGACGAAAGCTAGTAAAAAAGATTGATCGCGGTGACGATGGCTGTGGTGGCGACGGTGATGACGGCAGCGAAGGTGGTGGCGGTGGCGGTGACGGTGGCGGTGGCGGTGGCGGTGGCGGTGGCGGTGGTAGTGGCGGTGCCGACGACCGACGACCGACGACCGACGACGGTGGGGCGGGAAGGAATAGAGTAAATGACAGTCACGGGGAGCGCCAAGCGGAGAACAAACGAGGAGGTAAAACCGTCAGCGTACGATCGTACTCCATTTTAATAAAGAGAGCCAAGCGGGAGCCCCGGTCGGACCGGGGAGCGACCTGAAGTTAACGGCGGAGCCGCGCGAAAGTGATGCCTCCCATTTGATCGCCAATTCTCGAGGCGCAAAGAGTATACCCACTTGGTCGGATTCAATTCGTTCCGCGAAAGGCAACCGAAGCCAGGGAAAAGGGTGTCGGACTGCGTTGGCGAAGGTGTGAAACCGGGGCCAGGCTGCGAAGTAGCGTGGCGTTGGCCGCCGATAAAATACTTCTTGGCTTAGCCGTTAGCGAGCTTGATAAGCGCTAAAAGAAGAGAACGGAAGCGTTCGTTATTTCCAAATGGTCGGCGAGTCGGTAGTGGTGGTGCCGCCGCCGCTGGCCTGTCGCAGCTGCCTTCAGAGCGCTGCCGCTGCGGCGATGTTTGGTTAAAGCCGTGGGGAGGGGGGGCGAGAGCGCGATACACGGCGTTGTTTCCTCTCTCTGTCCGTGTCGGCGTTTTTTGGCCGTCTCTCTCACCCGCGAAAGAGCCCCGTCTCCGGGCACGACGAGAGGACGAGGTTTCGGCTTGCTCCAGCGTGCGCCATCACGGGCAAGATGCTGTCGCTCGGCCCGAAGAAGGACGGGGGACCGAATCTCAAGTTCTTCGACTCCTCGGAGGTGCTGGCCCAGCTCGACTCGGCCAAGCAGTGGCTCCTGAAAAACGCCAAGAAGGTGAGAGTCCGCCTGTCCTCCTCCGAAGCCGCCACGGTTGACCCGGCGTCGCCGAGGAACTGGAGCCTTACGCGACCCGGTGCGTTGCACGGGGAGGCCGTCTAGTAGCCGGATATGTCCGAGCGGTGGTCGGCGATGGCCCTCCCAGTATTATGCCTGGCTTCGGCCGAGTTTTACTAGGCGGCTTACCGACCCGAGCATAACCTATATCGCGCGGACTTTTCTGTGCCGACCGACGACTGCATACCGTTGATTATGCTTGCGCACCGCTTACCCTACCCTTTTTCTTCTCCTTTTTTCTTTCGTTTTTTTTTTTCTTCTATTTTTCACCCACCCTCTCTGCCCGACTATCCGACTAGCGCGCTGAAAGAACCGGGTGCGACGATTATTATTTGGTTTTGTTTTACCTCCCACTCGGCCAACTCACAATTCCGATCCAAATGTTTTGGTTCCACCGTCGTCTCGCGTAATAACTCCCCGAACTTTTTTTAAATTACCGGCACAATTATTATTTTCTATTATATTATTACGTAAATATTATTGCCGTAAATGTGTGCCAGTGTGCGCTCGTGCGTGTGCGTCTGCGGGCTAATGAGCGCGCGCGCGCGCGCGCCCGCCCGCCTGCCTGCTTGCCTGTTTGCCTGTTTGCCTGTTTGCCTGTTTGCCTGTCGGCCTGCTCGCTTGGTCGCTTGGTCGCTCTTGTATTTACAATTGAAAGAAACAAATATTTAGAGATAGCCTTCTTGTGCAGACGTTATGTTGCGATTACTTAGTATGTAAATTTAGCTGTATGTAAAACTAAAAGTTTACATTCTATTCTACATTTAAAGTCAAAATGTTAAATTGACTTAAATTTGTTTGCGAATGCTTGGTTCTTTATAGAACTTGCACGTGCTTAGCAGCGTGTCATTGCATCAGCGTTGCACTGTGCTTAGGATTTTATAACGTTAATTAAAATTTATTGCTTTGGAAAGTTAATATTGATTAATGTCTATCTTGATGCCATAATTTATATATTTTATTTGTATAGTATATTCAGACGGACCTACCAACCAACAAAAGTTTATCTACTTTAATTGTACAAATTCTTCAATTTCAAGAGGACAATCTTGGAAAAAATGTTACTAAGCCTCCTATGACAAGGATTCCTGTATGTATTTTGTTTTCTTCCTTTTCATTGTTGTTGTGTATTCTATATATTTGTTTATAACCGTAGAATTGTAAAAACTAATTGATATTTTCATTCGCTTTACAGATGAAATGTTTCTTAGATTTCAAACCAGGAGGTGGATTGTGTCAAATTTTATTAACAGCCTTTAGGTTTAAACAGGAACAAGGATGGCGAAGATTCGATTTTCCAGTAGGAAAGGTATTCTGACGGACTCGTAAAACATTATTACTAATATTCATTACGTCGCTTGTCGTTTATTTCAATAATCGTGTCTTATAATTCACCCGTAGTCTGGTACTCGGATGGACAGAATGGTGGAAATGCTCATTGCAATAGAACGAGCATTAGTACAAAATCGATGTCTTGCAGTACCAAGTATATATGTGAGGTCAGATGTTGATAAGGCTACGGCGACAAAAGTTAAAGATTTAGTGCGTCGCCATCAAGGAACAATAGCTGAAAATGAAGATGAAGCGACCCATGTAATTTATCCTCCCGCTGACCCTCTCGAAGAAGAGTATGCCCGGCCGTGCTTTCGTCGTGAGCGTTCCGTTTTGTTACATTGGTACTATTTCCCAGACAGTTACGACTCCTGGATTAACATTGATCTTCCATGGGATTATCCTGAAGCAGCTCTTGGCAATATTTCTGCAAAGTACGTTGATGATATGTAGTTCAATTTGCAGTGTCAGAAACTTATTGCTCTCCTGTTTGTTGTAGGTCAACGTATAAAGTATCTGCTACTTGGGCACTAGATTTAGAACAGTACAACGAGTGGATGAACGAAGAAGATTACGAAGTAGATGATAATGGACAAAAGAAAGTACATAAATATAGATTGTCGGTTGAAGATCTAATGGCTCAACCAGCACCACCTTCGTCGGCCAAAAAACAAAAGAGGAAAAGATCGCCCACGCCTCCGCCGAAACTTGGCAAACGAAAGAGGTAAGATTCGTGCAGTTTATTATTGCTTTACTAATGAATAATCGTAGTCCACGATCGTTTAATAAGTTAATCCAAGAGAATATCGCCACCGCACTTTTATTAATATTGTTATAATCTTATCTTTTACATTTACGCGTTCCAGGGTCTGTAAATTAAAATATTTAATTCTTTGATCTTTGTTAATTAGTGGACGAGCCCCTGCTTGCGTACAAGGACTATCAAATGTATCTTCAGCAGCTCCAAAGAAATCTCGTGGTGGTGGGGATGAAGAGGAAGATTTAACGCAAGGGATGGAAGACCCTCCAGCGGAACCGAGGATAGTAGAAGTTATGGCCTCTAATGCTAACACACCAAACTCAGGTCAAAATAGCAGTACCACGGGTGGTTTAATTTCCAGTAGCAAGAAACAAGATAATGAATTGCAACCATTAAAATCTGGAAATATGGCTGATCTCGACGAACCCGCAGAAGGTTTGATATTTTATTGTCTTTCTGATTATATGTGCTTTCCGACCAAAGCCCTATTGATATAACCTTGCTTCTAAAGTCTCAAAAAGAAAATTTATAATTATTCATTATTAAATTAGATCGTTATTTATATTTGAGAGTAATCTTAAAGAAATCAACTTATTTTTACAACAAATTCTAATTGGAAAACATTCGCTAATGAAAAGCCATAATAATTCAAGGTTTTACTAATACCAATGGCTAAATTGTCCATATCATCAATTATGTTTAATTTAACATTTTTCATTAAAATAAAATATTTTAACATAAAATTTCACCTCAGCATCGACGAAATATTTCATAAATCTCACAGTTATGAAACGTATATAAAAAAAAAAATATGCATACATTACTTCCAATTAGTGATTGTCTAATTTTTAATAATTTTGTGACATTTATATATTATTACATGTACTGTTCTTATCAAATTAGGTGACAAGAGTAATTCACAAACGTCACAAGACAGAGAAGAAAGAGACACGAGCAAAGAAAGGGGCGATGGGAGTAAAAGCGATGAACCAGAAGACAATGTCACGGAACAGACCCATCATATTGTAGTACCAAGCTATTCAGCATGGTTCGATTATAATTCGATTCATACAATCGAGAAACGAGCTCTTTCCGAATTTTTCAACGGTAAAAACAAATCGAAGACACCGGAAATTTATCTGGCATACAGGAATTTTATGATCGATACCTACCGTTTAAATCCTACCGAATACATTACATCAACGGCATGCAGGTATTGAACCCGTTTACATTAACTGCATATTTCTTTACCATTGACAGTACTGCCAAGTAAAAATGTCATTATTACATATTAAATACATTTTGATAACTTAATGATCAATAAGGAGATTATATTATATTATAGGCAAATTATTTTTAAGTGAAATTAACGATAAATTCAATTTTACCTACATCTGAGCTTTTTTTTCTTCTTTTATTATTATTATTATTATTATATTTCTACATTTTTAATTGTGAGAGAAAGAGGTACCGGACAGGGAGAAGGGAGAGCGTTAGAGAGAAAGGGTGTACTCGTCAGATTAGATTATTAATGCATATAATGATAATAACAACAATCATAATAATAGTGACATTAAATATGTGATAATAAATATTTAATAATATCTTTATGAAAGAAACGTCGAACTCGCAGATCAAACTGAAGTTTTCGAACGATAAGACGATTGCGGAGTATAAAAAGCAATTACTCCTGCATCGAATGAACTCACCTGTAAAGTTCGTTACTTTATTTACAACAGCCCCATTCGATCCATCGTGCTCACTAACCAATTCATTGTTATGTAACCCACCAGACGCAACCTGGCCGGCGACGTCTGTGCCATAATGCGCGTGCACGCCTTCCTCGAGCAGTGGGGCCTCATAAACTACCAGGTCGACGCGGAGTCCCGACCAACGCCCATGGGCCCGCCGCCGACCTCTCATTTCCACGTGCTCTCGGACACGCCCTCAGGGCTCGCCCCGGTCAATCCAAATCCGCCCAAGACGCCTCAGCCGCCAGCGGCTAAAACCCTCCTGGACCTCGAGAAGAAACCGACCATCGTGGACGAGAAACTGCCGACGTCCGGGACGATGGCGAACTTTGGCCTGAAAATTGATCAGTATTCGAAGAAGCCCGCGGTTCTCAAAAATAAGCAGGCTGCGGGGGCGACGCGCGACTGGACGGAACAAGAAACGCTTTTGCTGCTCGAGGCGCTCGAACTGCACAAAGACGACTGGAACAAGGTAGATTGGCGCCAACTCGAGGATTTTCCCATATTGTCTAGTGGCCAGTGCATAAAGTGACAGGGCACTTTCGGCTCGTACGATAATCAAAGAAGTCGTACAGCCATTTATAAACGTAATAACCCTCGATTACTTATCCGTAGGTGTGCGAGCACGTGGGTTCGCGGACGCAAGACGAGTGTATTTTGCATTTCCTGCGACTACCCATCGAGGATCCGTATCTCGAAGAGCCCGAGGGCCTGGGACCGTTGGCCTACCAGCCGATTCCGTTCTCGAAAGCCGGCAATCCCGTCATGAGCACCGTTGCCTTCCTCGCCTCGGTAGTCGACCCGAGGGTAGCGGCGAGTGCTGCCAAGGCCGCCATGGAAGAATTCGCAGCGATCAAGGATCAGGTGCCCGCTGCGCTCCTCGACCAGCACTTAAGGAATGTACAGGCCAGCGCGAATTCCGATGGTACGTCTTCAAACACAACCAACGTGCTGTTGCTTTCGAGAGATTTTTCCGAGATTCGCGCACTTACACTTTCACATTCGTTCCTTTCCTAACAACGATTATGACCTTATGTAACGAAAGCTCCATCCGAATCTTCTCGAGATGTTATAAAATATTATTCGTCTGTTATTGTTGTAGTTGTAATTGTATGGAACACCCCGTGTTGCATTTTTCATTTGTTCGCATTGAAAGTGTCAAATGTAATGGCAATTTCTCGCAAAGCACATTGGTTAATAAACTGCAAATGCAATATGAGGCTCGATATCTCTCGTTTAGGTAAATTCGATCCGGCAGCAGGACTCGCACAGTCGGGCATCGCGGGCACGGGTCCACCGGAGCCTCCGGATGAGTCGAGCAACGCTCAGAATGCCTCGGGACAGCCAACGCCCACATCGGCGACGTCGCCCCAATCGACGGCCACGACGCCGCCCGACGGCAAGAAGGACGAGTCGAGTGAGAAAACCAAGGTCGGAGTCACAGCCGAGGATAGCGAGTCACCGGATGGTGGGGGCGCCGTTTCAGCCGTCCCCAAGGAGATCGATGCCGCGGATAACGAGAGTGCCGAGATCCAGCAACAGGAACCCGAGAAAGTGGAGGTGGACGTGAAGGAGAACGAGGAAATCGACACCAAGACGAAGCTCGACGGCGACGAGAACGAAGCCAAGGAGAAAAAGGACAAGGTACGCCAGCCCGTATGCTTGCTTCGTGTATTTCAAGGACAAATCGTCTGTCTGTGTTTGCCCTTCGCTTCTAATTTGTATAAGCAAGACTGGCATTTGTTATTATTGGTACGACGAAATTAAAAAAAATTGGCCAATTTTTGTAATTATTGACCAGTAAATACATTTATTAACAAACATTATGGATACTCTATTTAACAAGAAAAACAGAGAGAGAGAGAGAGAGAGAGAGAGAAAGAAAGAGAGAAAAGATCGTAAATTCAACTTTGAAATGATGAAAATCTTTTGACACGCATAATTTCAATGATTTAGAAAATAAAAAAGTAATGACAAAAGCGTTGATAATAATGGGCCTTAAAAAAAAAAAACTTTTGAAAGAAGATGATAGGTGGTAGTGTTCCAGGATGACGTTATTTAAGTTTTTAAACTTTGAAAAACAATGAAAACGATAAATAAATCGTTAAATAATTGTTAATAATTGTGTGTCTTCCAGGTGGTCAGAGACGCCCAATTGCAGTCGGCTGCGGCAGCCGCTTTGGCCGCCGCGGCGGTAAAGGCCAAACATTTGGCGGCTGTCGAGGAGCGAAAGATAAAATCCCTCGTGGCCCTCCTCGTGGAGACTCAGATGAAGAAGCTCGAGATAAAACTGCGCCACTTCGAGGAGCTGGAGACGACGATGGAACGGGAGCGCGAGGGGCTCGAGTACCAGAGACAACAGCTCATAACGGAGCGGCAGCAGTTCCACCTCGAGCAATTAAAGGCCGCGGAGTTCCGCGCGCGACAACAAGCGCACCAGCGACTGGCTCAGGAGCAACATCAGCAGCAGCAACAACAGCAGCAACAACAGCAGCAGCAACAGCAGCAGCAGCAGCAGCAGCAGCAACAACAGCAACAGCAGCAGCAACAGCAATCTCAGAATCAGCATCAACCACAGTGGCAGCCTAGTAGCAATCCGTCGTCGCAACCGACGGCGACTGGGGCGCAACCGACCGCCGTGGTTACCCAGCAACAAGCCCAGCCTACCTCCCAACAACAAGGACAACCACCGAGCCCGCAGGCGCAGCCCCACACACCTCCGCAGCAGGCAGCATAAGATCTTCGTGAACGCTTATGACATTGCGGGAACTACTTTTTGACGGGACACGAAGAGAGAGAGAGAGAGAGAGAGAATGAGAGAGAAAGAGAGAGAGAGCGAGAGCGAGGATTGTATAGAGGTAGCCTGCTAGAGATCACTGCTAATTTGTATGGGAAAAACAGCGGTGGTCAACAGGTATACCGGGTGGGTACTCGTTTCTTCGATTGCACTAGGACGGGGACGGGTTAAGATGCGGGTAGATTGTAACTAAATGGCAGTTTTTTCTTTTTAAAGAAAGAAGTAACAGAGAGAATGATCATTGATTTCACGAATTGCGCCAAGGGCCAATAATGACAGCGTTTCTTGTCATTCCGTTTATTGTAGATATTTGACAGATGTTAGGCTTATCGGAATTTCTCAAATTTGTACTACCGAATGGATTACTTTTAATGAAAAAAAAAAATAAAATAATAATAATAATAATAATAATAATAAAAATTAAAAAAAAAATGATTGTTTTTCTCTTACAAGAGGTGAAAATATGCCTTTTTTCGTAAACACTAAAGATTCGAGACACTTGCCACTGTCGCGTTTAGTTGAAAGCCAGAGCGTGCAATTAAATTTTTAAACTTTACTTTCACGCCGATAATCGACCCATAGAAAGTGATTATTTAAATAAAGTGCGATAATGAGAGAGTCTAACCGATTCCTTTGGGAAGTGAATGGAATTGGAGGATGATTGAAAATGAAAGCCTGATCTGTAAGTGAAAAAAAAAATTCTTTTTATCAGTGTACAACTTGGGAGAGAGAGAGAGAGAGAGAGAGAGAGAGAGAGAGAGAGAGAGAGAAAGAGAGAGAGATTCAGTTTCTTCACTCACCTTTGATACCATGTATTATTCTGAGAGTAATTATTAGAAAAGGGTCAACTTATTGCGTAAGGAACAAAAACAAAAACAAAAAAAAATGTGAATTGAATGTTATTTAAGGACCATGAGCCATTATTCATCGAGTCGAATTATTGAATTTGATTCCAGTTGAAGGATGGCCGCGAGAACTGGCGAGTAATATTTTATTTAGGACTTTGACAAAAAATCTTTTTATGTTCGTGGGTTTTGTATTTTGCAGTACAATTAATTAAACTGTAATCGACCTAACGATCCTATATAATATACTATTGACAAAAGTATACAAACTGACAAGTCATTTAGCATACAGAAACCCTTACAAAAACAAAAAAAAAAAAAACAAAAAAAAAATGAAAACAATCAATATTTGTATTAACCCCTTAACTCCTTGTGCAGTATACAGGACAAAATGTTAAACTAATTTTTTCTTATTTCCTGTTTATTATATGATTTTTTTTTTATTTTTATTTTTATAAAAAATATTAATATCTCTAATTACAAGTGATTTCTGTACAATACCGCTAAGATAATTTAACCTAATTGTTAATTATGCTTTAATACAGAATATATATGTAGTATAATATTATTTTTAATACTTTACTATGACAATTTTTCTGTTTGGATCATATATTTTAAAGATATTACAATACAATTGTATTTATTAATGCAAAAAAAAAAAGAAAATTATCAACCTTACTATTTTATTTAACAGTGAGATTCCACGTGATTGCACAGGGAATTTCGAAGGGCAAGAGCGTTCAACTTCATCATACCGTAATCGCTCACATCGAGCAAAAGTTCCAGTGACTTAAAACATCTAATACAAACTTTATGTTTCCTCATTGCAATAAACTCAACATGTTGTCTAGTGTCATATAAATTCTTAATGAATAATAAGAAATTCAAAACAATCGATGAATATTCAGTCTGTTTAAACAATCTTGTACGCAAATAAAACCATGCGCGAATGAATCTTGCAAGAAACAAAAACAAAACAAAAGAAATGTCCTGGTCGCACGCACTTATTTTCGTGGAATATTTATATATATATATGTTGGTATTAAATATGCGTACATAAATTATAAAATAGGAATGTTAGGGGATTAAAACAAGGGCATTTTCACTCAAAGTATAATCAATGCTCGCTCGATCGGTACAATTTTTTTTTTCCACGCCTCTCGACAATTCTACCACATTGTTAACGCCTTTGTCGAGCAACATATTTGCCAATGTATTAATGCAACATTAATTACAAAATCCGTGAAATCCAATGGTCAAACAATGAACAACGGCACACTTTAATTGGAAAATACCAAACAAGCTCAAATGTGTACGTAAGCGGTATTATTAATAAAAATTCAATCTCTATTTGCCCTTGCGTGGAAATGCGCTTCGATATTATATTCAGAGGCGTTAATTTGTAGAAGCTGATAATTGACAAGTGCGAGAGAAAATATGTCCATTATATAAAAGAACATGGGGAAAAGAGCGGGCGTTGGCACACGCTACGCATGATAGGCGTCAACGGCGGCGTCATGGTAGAGTTGTGGGCAGTCGTGGTGAGGTGATCGACTAAAGGGCTCGATTATTTACGAGCTCGACGACGAGGTCGGTCATGAGGCGAGTGCATTGAGCACCGGCGGGCGGAGGTGCCAGGAGACTACGCTCCTCGTCGCTGGCTTCCTGGCCCTTGTAAAGATCCGGCGCTTGGTCGCTCGTGCACGTGCTGATGGGCAATATGTCCAGGGCGAGACCCAGACCGAAGCGGCCGCAGCGGCGCATCTCCTCGCTTAGCCTGTGAACAGCCAACACAGAGCTACTCTCGTTTCCAAGGGGTAAGCTCGCGACAACGAGCCGATAAGGATCGTTTTAATGGGTAGAACGAGACGGCCGTCAAGGGGGAGTATCGTTTAAGATTTGTTTACTTATTATGGAAGTCTGGCGCGACGTAGCTGTTGCACCACCATTGTCCTGCCAATAGCCGATAAAAGCATCAACAAAATGCGCGATCGACATGCAAGTACTATTTGACGTATTGTTAATAAGCCATTTGGCGTCGTCCATTAGAGCCTAAAGTTAATCCAATCGTGCAAATGCCATTGATAAGGCAAGGCGGGAGAGGGTGGTGGCTCTTCGAAGGTGTCAAGGTCGACTAATCGTTAAATTACGCGAGTGCACATAATATTTATGGGAGCATACGTACAGGGTCCACATAGCGGCTGGATCTCTGGTCGATTCGGCTGCTGGATTTAGGACGTAAAGGGCTGACATGAGGTGGCGGTGGTAGTGTTGCAGCAGCTGAGTCATGAAAGTTTTCCTCACCTCGCCACTCGTGCAGCAATAAAGGACGTTCGCGAGATCGAGCGCCAGCGAACCAACGCGGGTCAGTTGAAAGTCAACCAAGCAGACGGCCTGCCAACCAAATGCCAAGCCCATTGATTAAAACGTTGAAACCTTTAATGGCGTTTAGTTATCTCGAGGCGAACGAAAATAATAGATCACGATGAGTGATTGGTGATTGATTTCGGTTGATTTTATATTGAATTAGCGATGACGATCAGAGAAGGATCTTTGCTTAGTAAGCTTTTCTTTGTTGTTGTTGTTTTTTTTTTTATTATTATTTTTTTTTTTTTTTTAATATATCGAGGATGTGGAGGAAGCGTTGCTATGCTTGAGTGGTCTGGATGGACTTTATTGACAGAAGGAGGCCGGGGCTTTTGAATGTAGATAAGAAAAAAATTGCCAATACCGTTTTACAAAAGTAATATTTTTAAGACTCATTGATATACGCGTATTAGTGATGCACATATATTTATAGAAATTTCTAGACATCGTTACTGTGTTTCATCGTTTTTGCAATAATTGACATGTACCACGGATTTTCCATAGTCGGGATGAATTGAGGGTGGAAATGACTTATTAATAAAAATTTCGTGAAAATAATTAATCGATTGAGCTATTACTTAAAAATATCGTTAAATCTACTGTTCGTTCGAATGGTTTTCGAAAGATTCTATATATTTTCGATAATCGATGCGATGTTTCGTTTAACGAGGCAACGCAACATCTACGACACCGAGATCCATGTGATCAGGTGAAGTTCGGGGCGGATGAAGAAATTCCAAACCCATGCCCATACGTAGCTGAGAATTGTAACTATGAGGGATGGATGGATGAGGATAAGATCGAGGAATGAGCTTGAGCGGCGCCAACGGAAAGAAAATTCAAGAAAGAGTTGGGTGGCTTTGTGTCTCTGACTGAGTGAGCCGCACAATCTCACCTCCGAATCCACAGCATCTTCCTTGAATAGGAAATTATTGGTCCAGCAGTCACCGTGGCAAAAGACGCTGAGGGGACCCTGACTAGAGGTGAGCTCGCACATGGTACGGAAGAAGCTGTCCTCGTCGAGGAAGGCCCGGAACTTGCCCAATATCTCGTCGCGACGTACCTCGATGGACTCGGGAAGGCCCTCCGACACCATCTTCAGGGCGTTGCTTTTCGCCGTGCGATAGTACTGCCTGTACCAATCGACGTTCTCCATGCGGAACAGCGCCTCTTGGACGGCCTCGCCCGCATCCGAATCTGGACGCGACAGCCTCGCGAACACTTCTGGTCTTCAATATAGGACTACGCTTAATTCGAGCCCTTGTCTCACAGGATCCGCGGGGAGAAGCTCCGACAACTCTAGTGATAAAATCGGTTTCGCAAGACTTCGCAAGACTTGGCAAAATTGGCAATTGATCGGCCCATACTCGCCGTCGATTTTTTTTTTCTCTTTTTTTTCTTCTTTTTTTTTTATCCCGCCCGACTCCATCGTGTCAATTAATATCAAGGATAATGATCGCTAACGCGTGCATAGATGACGAAAGCTCCCGCTCAAGTAATATGCGAATGACGATTGATTTCATCACTGCATAAAATAATATTGGAAGACATTTTTCATCGCGCATTCGTTCAATTGGAAAATTGGCAAAATCCGGCTATTATAATTTGATCGAGATCCATTGAGACAATATTGACGATACGATGATCGCTCGGGAAGATGAAGATTAGCATCTCCCCCTTTCTTTAATATTTATGAGATAGCTTTATGTAATCGATGATACGCTTATTGCTGATATTGCGATTAAATTAAAAAAATTTCGTGGCAGTGACGCTTTGTAAAAAAAAAAAAAAAAAAAAAAAAAAAAAAAAAAACTAAATCGATCAAAATATAAATATTATTAATTCCATATAGGTATAAGCTTGCAACATCTTCTCTTTCAGTTTTTTTTTTTTTTTTTTTTTTTTTTTTATTTCTTCAATAGCTTGATTCATCTCTAAAACTTATTGACTTGCAACGAAATTACTAAAGCTTCCAATATGATAAATCAAACTTTAGACAAATATAACACAGCCAATGAAGAATGGAACAAAGAATGTCGATAATTACTTTACAGTCGCGTAAATTTGAGAAAATCTTTTGATATCCTTTTAAGACGCGTGCTTTGCTTGTCACTACAAACTTCCAATTTCAAACTCATATTTGTCAACGAGCGAGAGAGAGAGAGAGGCCAGAATACTAAAAAAAAATTGCATCACGAGTATCCTTTACTGGGAAAATGACAAGGTATCGCTAACCCTGTTTCTCCTCAAGCTTTGCCTGTAGACCTCTCTCGCTCTCTCTCTCTCTCTCTCTCTCTCTCTGTCTCTGTCTCTGTCTCTGTCTCTGTCTCTGTAATCAATAATGGCCTATGTAACATTATACACTCGCCTACCATCGAGACTATCGGGGTTTTATATTACTCCAGTTAGTCTCTTAAGGCTCCAAGTCGATATATTTATTTCTTTCGTAGAGCGGAGACTCGGTAAAATCACCAAGGCACTGGATTATTATCCTTTAACTTTAAAAATCATCAGCTAGTCGTTTTTCAACGCTTGAGTCAGCAATTAATTGTAAAAAGGCTGAGCTACGTTCAACGAAGCCAAGATTTCACAAAGTCTTTCTACCTTTCAAGATTAATCGATATTTCGTCAACTCGATCGAGGTACAATTAATAATAATTACTCCAAGCGATATTCATTGATAATCTTCTCGCGATTTATCCATTACCAACGCGTCACCGATCAATCACATCCATGCCCGTGTACGACACTCGTGTCCCGATTTAATTCAACTTTAATAATCACAAATGAACGAATAAATAAATAAACGAACGAGCAAACAGATAAACACGAGCCCCTCCACCCTATCGGCGTGGTAAGCTCGCCCGAGCTCGAGCAATCATCAACATCGCAATTACCGCCCCCGCGATCGAGTCCATTGGTTGGAAGATCTCGAAACTCGAGTGGACAAGAGCCTGTTAATCGCGAGGCAATACCTCAGATCCTTGAGCGTGAGGCTGAGCGCGTGAAAGCCAGCGAGAGCCTTGAGTACGCGCTTCAGCTTGTCCACCTTCAAGCCCTGCCTCCTGTCTGCCATCTTGAAGCCCTTGGCCCTGAGGTCTTCCATGGCGATGAGCTCGGCCCTGGCCACGTAGACCTTGGCTACGCCCTCGAATACGGTGCGCCCGTTGGCTTGGAGCTCGGCGAGGGCCGGCCAGACCCTCGTGTAAAAGACGACCTCGTTCCTGAAGAGCAGCTCGCTCTTGAAAGCTTCGCGGCGCTCTTTGGACTCGGGCAGCACCTTGTAGATGATGGAGCGCTCCCAGGGCACGTGATCCCCAGGCTCGATGAACTTGCGGCCCTTGACGCTCAGCCGGTAGAGCATCGAGGTGTAGTTGTCGCCTCGACCCGAGCCCGGCGCCTCCTCCAAGCTCGTTATCTCCACCTCGGGCTCCTCCTTAGCGATGAGCTCGCGGATCGAGTCCAAGTCCAGTCGGGCGCTCTCCTTCTGACGGTTCGTCGCGTTCAGCAAATGGCCAATAAATGATGATTGTCATGGGGTTAGGGGTTTGGGGGGGGGGGTGAAGGAGGAGGAGGGAGAGAGGTTCTCTCAATGCTCGACCGCACGGAGTCGCGTTTTTACGAGGATGCAGAACTAGCACTCTTAACTTTACGTGGCCACGTATAATAAATAGACAGAATTTTTTTGGCCAAACATTTTTTGATTATCTTTACGAATGCTGTAAATGTTGTCATACTTTGGGTAAAGAAAATTTTTTCACTCCAATTGCATCGTTGCTTATCACTTTTAACTCTTTTACGAGATCTTACGATCGCATTACGCCGACAAGTCGATCATAATATGAAATTCATTGCTTTCCAATACAATTGTTAGAAAGAATGGGCACGTGGAACTTGCTTGTACTTACGTTACGAATCAATGATTCTCTTGCATAAAAAAAGCTCTGCGTCATTGACAATTGCCATGGTAATTATTGAAAAGATAGACGGAAGTAAAAATGTCGCGACCTTGTTTCGCAAAAATCATCCCAGTGTGGAATGCAAACAACACGGTCGATAGAGACAATTGCATTAAATTAAGAAAATTATAGCGACCAGTTGATTGTTCAACATAAACATGTGCTTTAAAAATAACTTTTACGATCAAATTAATCATATAAAATCATTGGAGTTTGGCACGTGTTGTTTACTCGCGTTTAATAACTAATCATTATTCGTGACTATTCTAATATAAATGCAAGTGGAAGTATGGAGTATTAGAAAAAGAAAGGAAAAGAAAGAGAATTAATTAGACGGACTTGTCGAGCTGTCGTTCACGTATAACGAATAGAAAAACAATGCCCATACGTACTCTCGTCTAAATATTTTCATTATTGCGTTCAATTAAAACTTTAATAAAATAATCAAAAAAAAAAAAAAAAAAAAAAAAAAAAAAAAAAAAAATAAAAAAAAAAAAAAAAAAAAAAAAAAAAAAAAAAGTATATCACGTTTCGTCTTACAAATTTGATGCACTTGTGTATGTATATTTGTCACGCCCGTGTTTAGTGGTGTCGCATAATCGTCGATCATTCGGTAACATTCAAGATTTAAACATCAACCGAGCGTTTAAAATTTGCCGATATTACTTCATTTACCAAATCTTTGACCAATGAACGACTTTAATTTGATGATGCAGATTCTATTACAGCGGCTATAACGAAAACTACATATTTTAATCTATAAAACATCGTAATTATAATAATCGCGTACTAAATTAATTAATACCGTCGTTAAACTCATTAAACCACAATCCTTCGAGCAAAAATTGATACTTTTAAGCCATTTTAAGTCGAGACATTCGCTCCCTACACTTACGATTAATTGTTTTTTTTTTCTCTCCCACTTCGTCCCCATTGACGTCAACTCGTAACATCATGAAAAGTAGCTGTAAATCCATTTATGAGATGTTGCGCAATTAGAAAATAACACTTTTACACGATTAGATGTAATTGATCGGCACTCTTCTCATCGAGATTAATTTACATTCATTGAGCGATGAACAGAGCTTGCGAACGATCGTTATTCGAAAGCAAAATCGGAAAATATTTATTTAGATATGTATTGCAAATACATAATATTCGAACGAGAAATGAATTTTTTATCTCGTCGCTAATTTAGGGATTCGGAGCGTCCAATTTTTAATCAAAAACTCATGAATCGACGATATCGATAAACAACGAGCCGAAAGTGCGTAATGATCAGTCTCGTCGTTCAATAGATTAACGGTTGATTGGATTAAGGTGAGAAAAAAAAAGAAAAAGAAAAACCCGAGAGGATAAAACGACGAATAAATGTACCGCCAGGGGAAGACATCGAGAGATCCGATAAGCATAAGGATGTTCAAGGTCGTGCCACCGGATTACCGATGAATAGGATCATCAAGGTGCGCGTGTACCCACCCTCTCCTGGTCGTCCATGATCGTGCTGCTCGTGTTTGCGGCGATGGTGGTGGTGGTGGTGGTGGTGGTGGTGGTGGTACTGCTGTTGCTGCTAGTCTATCGACCCGACAGAGAAGTCTCGGCGATCCGCGTCGCTGTCTCGAACCCGACAAACGCGCGATCCAAGTTGCCTCGCGCCTCTATGCGCCGCTAGACGATCGCGTCCCGTCCTGCCCGGCCTTAAAGTGTAGCACAGAATGGGGGTGGGAGGAGGAGGAGGAGGAGGAGGGGGGGCGGGGATGTCGAGAGTCCCCAACGCGACACCGATCCCATGCAGGAAGCGGGCGTTTATGCCGCAATGGACTGCCCGGGCGGCCCCTCGCGCAACCAATACCACCACCGTCTGCCTATACCCTCGCCGATATATGACTTAATTTAGTTGATCGCTCGAATCGAGCGGCTCAAGGGACAAGGACATTGATGCATGCCAATCACGCGCGCTCAATTTCAATTTCTTTCATTTAATCTGGAGTGGGGAAATTCGGCGCACTAGCTCCAACTAAGCCACAACGGTACATACTATCTTTATTCTACTATCAAGTTCTTTATTAATTTCATATTCTTTATGTATATATATATATTATATATCACACGCACACACCTTTACTCTCGCTCGCTCTCTCTTCTTTTACAAACAAACAATACATGACTATAATATTATTTACAATGAAATGCATAGATGACGAGAATCGCCATTACGTAGTAGTGAAAAAGTGGGTCTCGTTATGAAATCGTTCAAACACGGCGGCAATGAGATATACTGGCATTCCAATCGCCAATTTGACATTGCAAACTCAAGGGCAAAGGGCCGCTATCTGTTTTGTGGTTTTACGCTGTCACGGCAGATTTGCAGCAACTCCGCTGACATTTTACAAAAACTATGATCCAATGATTTTACTTAATTGTTGCTTCTGCATTTGGTTGAGAACGAAGTGCGATTTTATTTTTTCGTCATAAAATTGCTGATCGCCGATTCCAGAGTTGTGGGTGTATTGTAAAACCAGCTGGAAATACAAAAAAATACGATTAAATAGATCGATCCATCGTTTTATTTGTGATACGCGAGAGTAGGAGCATCGACTGACCAATGCCAAATCCGTCAAATTGTGAGTGCAACATTGATTAAAAATCTCATTCAGTTCTGTTGGCTTAAAGGCACCACTGGTTTTCTCCGGATTTTTAATTAAATAATCGTAAACATCCAACGCCTTTTCGAATTCAGATGCATAGAGTAGCAGAATAATTATGTTACTATATAACTCCATTGGTAATACAACTTGATACTTCACCCTCTCGTGTAAACTCTAAGGCAAACGTTAAAAAATTAATTTTCTTACATCCATCTATCAATTATCAATTACTAAAAGAAAAACAATCTGATATCAATAACCAATGCAACCGAAGAAAATTAATTCAATTGCTTTTGTAAAAATGAACGATCTTTACAATGCCTTGTTAAGGCTGTTTATCCACTTAACAATTAATTGCAACTAATGAATAAAAAATTTGTAAAAAAAAATATCTAAATAAAATTGTTCTCATCATTATCGTTATCAGTTGCTTTGCACTTTAAGTAACAGCAACGCTTTATGCTCGCTTACTTTAAGATGAGTCCAGACTTTCGAAGCATATTCGCCCAGCTCTTTTTGAATACGAGGCTCTTCCTTCGAGGTACAATGTTTTACGATTGCTTTAAGTGATAGTTTCAGCAAATTATTATTGTATAGCATCTCAAATGATACAATATGTTTTATAAATAGGGCCATTATTGGTAGAAGTTTGTTGTCTTTTCGATAAGACAAAAAGTTTTCCATAATGTTTTTCATCGTTTCATGATCAGGAATAAAAACAGCAGGAACAAACTTGGTATAAAACATTTGGAAATCTAACAGGGATTCGTTGTATAATACCATTAAAATATAATCGTTATAAAAATGATTCGACTAAAATCAAAATTAAAATCGGTTAATGCTTTGAATGTGTAATACTAATCTCAAGAAAATAACAAGTTCAAATGTAAGTGAAATCGTCTTACTTGTATATTATTCAAGAAATAACGTTTATTCTTGCTCAAAAAAATATTGTATATTTCATGACCAACGTTCGTTGGAAAATAATTTTTTGCAGCAATGGACATGGCTTTGGAAAAGAAACATTGATCCGTATCGTCGTGTAATACAAAATCTTTTGATTTTACTTCGCTTAAAATTTCCATGAAAACATTTTCATCGATCGTATCTGTGCTCAAAGGATTGCAAGTATTAAGTTTATTAAACGTTAAATATCATATTATATATAATTCCAAACAAGTAATTCTGAATTAATAAAAAATATGTTTATAAGGACATTGATTTAATTTAATAACGCCTTATTTAATTCTTACCATTGTTTTTAGATAAAATTAATAATAGATAATAATAAGTCGTTAAAGTTGGTTCTATTCCTAATGATTTAAACTTTGAAAAGAATGAGGTCGCATAAGTAACATTATCCGCAAGATTTTCCGCAGCTGACAGAATAGCATTTAATACATCGACATTCAAACTCAGTCCCTTTTGAATCATATCTTTTAAATAGATTTCAATTAAAGATTTACATTCTTCGTCGCTCCTTTTTGAAAATCGTATTGATTGAATTAAATAATGATAGCACGTACTGAAAATGGATAAATTTTTTTTCAAAGATTCTTTATAAAGTCCCTCTGCTAAATTAACCTGCAACAAATACCTCCTATGAAATAATATTTATTTTATTTTAAATTAAAAATATTCTACGGTAATCTGCTAGTTGCTTGTAAAGAAATACAATATTTTTCTGTATATATGTGTGCATATACGAATTAAAGTGTAAAAGAAACAACTATTAAGAAATTACTCACTGAGCCATATTTTGCAGTTCCACAAATCATAGCACTATAAGCGGCTGCAGCTGTTTCTTCATTATTTTTCAATTCATCGAATAAACTATTGGCCTCGGAATTATTACTTTAAAAAAACAAAATTTTTATTTCAAAAGGACGAATGATTTCTATCGAACATTAACAAAATTTGAAATTAACCTACCCCAATTATTACGTACAAATAAGAGGATAATTTACAAAAAGATAATATATTTATATTATAAATATATTCAAGTTTCATTTTATTTATAAATAATTTCATAACAGAACCATTAATGAATTATAGATAGATTATCGTTACCATTAATAATGTAGAATTTAAATTATTAAAACGTAATTATAGGAATTTAAATGTAAAGTCGATAAAACAAAAACAAAACAAAAGAAAAAAACAAGTATAATATTTACGACTCACTTCCACAAATTTTTATTTATTTGAATACGAGCTCGATATCTCAATTCTTCTGGAAAGTCTTCCGATGACTCTTGTTCTTCGCTATTGTAAAAGCACAATAGCTCTAAAAGAGCTTGCTTTGTCTCCAATTTCACATTCTTCTCCAATAATTCATAAATATGAAGAGAATCTTTAACGCTTCCTTTTTTAATGAATTCCATTAATATTTCATCAGAAACTTGACTTTTCTCTGTATACTTTTCTGGAGGTAGAAATGCCTAAAGACGAAAATTTCATTTATATACGATAACATACTACCATTCTTCTTTATTATTCCTTTAATAATATTATTCAATTTCATTAATCTTAAATTTTAGTATTTCCACTATTAAAATACAATAAATGATAAATTAATAATATCATTTATAACTAGTAAATAATGCGGAAATTATTATACCTTAATCAATGGATCTGAAAGTTCACTATACAAAGTCTCACTATGATTTTCTACAATAAATCTCGCTGCTCTTCTACCACTTTCTTTGGAGAGGGCGTATATACGTTTTCGTTTGGTAGAAGTTGGAATAAAAAAAGGATCGTCCATAAATCCATAATCATTACTAGTCGAATCATTTAATAAAGTTCCTTCCAAAGCCTACATTTAGAACAAATATATAATAGAATTATTTCATAATAAAAAAGAAGAGGTATATATTATTATATGGAAATAATTAAATACTCTTAATATATCGGTCGGCCCACGTTCCTTTCGCATTGGAATTTTAATTTCAGGAGAAGACTTCTCGGATACGGGAGTGCTGAAAGGCTGAAGTTTCCTCATCATACTTTGTACATTTCGTCTGAATAAGAAGATAATTTGTACTTTAATAAATTGTATTTGCTGGTGAATTTAATGTATTGTTGAAAAAATTTTTAACGCTAGCAACTACTGCACATTTTCACTCGACATCGTGAAAATGTAATTGACAAATCTTACCTATTGACGATCCTCGTTCTTAAAGAATTCATATCCGTTACTTCACACTTTGCCGAAGAATAATGAGCAAATGCACCGCTATAAGTAAGCCAACAAGTTACATAAACAGGTTAGGGACGTATATCAATTTCCTTCGATACCAACTCTCTCTCTCTCTCTCTCTCTCTCTCTCTCTCTCTCTCGATAACCGATAAATTTTTGCTTTATATAACATAAAATGACATAAAAATGTATCTTAAAAGGAAAGCATCTCTCATACGATCAGTATCGAACTTGCCGTTACAAAAAATGTATCCAAATTCTTTTTTTATGAAGCAAGATAGCTAACCTGTAAAAACGTAATTTTGCTCAATTCAATTCACGTAATTCTTAACTCCCGTCAGCAAATACTTAATAACGTCGAGTATCTTTTGCCAATAGAAATGTACAAAAATGTATTCTTAAATATTAATAAATGCAAGGTACGACGTACAAGACATCGTACGCTCAACAATCGAAGCAACTAAAATATTATTGGACACATGTATAAACGTAAATGGCGTGACCATAAGTTCGGCGTATTTTAAATTCATTGCGTATTAATCCAATTACGTCACCCAGTCCTTTAAACACAATTTCCCATTTTCCTATATACGATAATAATAATAATAATAATAATAATAATAATAATAATAATAATAATAATAACAGCAACAACAATTTTAATGATAATAACGATGGTATTACGATTATGCGAAGATAAATTTTATGGAATTCTGTGAATTTAAAATTAAAATGGATATTCAAAAGTTAATTTTTACAGCACAACTAACGATAATAGTTAATTGTAGTCGTTTCATTGTAAATTTTAATTTTCCTCCTAATTCAATGTAAATGGAATTGATACTTTTTACACAAAAATTGGCAAAAAAACAAAAGAAACATAACACGAAAAAAGATGATAAAAGAAGGTTCACCGCGAATAAGATTTTTAATGTAAAAGTTTTAAAGAAGAATATCTAACGATAAGAAAATTAAGAATAAATTTTTGAAATAACGAATATTTTTTTTGGAATAAAGTTATACAGGAATAAATCGTAATTATTCGACGCTATTAAGCAAATAATATGAAACTAATTTGCTATAATAACCAACGGTTATACACCAACAGAAATTGAAATAATAAAAATAATAAAAGAGTAACTTGACCATATCTACACAAAATTATCATTTTAATGCGATAGTATTGATAAGCATCGATGAAAAACGTCCAATATCATGACTGTATAATAAATAATATAAAAGAAACAATAACAATCCATTATTTGCAAGTGTAGGCTGGAGAAATTTTGTCTACGAACACATTAGACGAATAAATGACGTTCGATTGAAATTTCTCATTCAATTGAATTAACGAATAGTCATTCGGCATATGTTACACATAGCGACAAATTAGATCCAACGATAAACAATGATTGAAGCAATAAATAAGATATTATCAGAGTTTAATTACAACTCAAATTTAATTTTTATTAGTACGTAAATTTCACAGGACTAGATACTAAGGAATTGTGATTTGACGAGTTGTTTTTTCAATTTGATTTTAAAATTCAATAACGTACGTAATCTCATAGAATAGTTATCCGGATAGGGAAGGCATGATTGAGCTTATTTTGCCAATAATTACGACCTCGGAATTCAGTATTGGAAATGAACGAATCTAATCTACGTTAGCCGGACATTTGAAATAACCGTTAACGTTATTTTTTATAGGAAGACGAAATCTCTTTTTGTAAACAAATAAAAGAAAATAAAAGAAAAAAATGTAAGATGGGGTTATGCTTCCTATACGAGTAAAGGGCACGAACTAACTGTAGATTTCATCTCTTTACTTTATGAAAGGCTGTCTCTCTCTCTCTCTCTCTCTCTCTCTGTCGAAAAAAAATATAAAAAATAATAAAGAATGAAGAGTTCGAAGGTGCGCGCTAATTTAGTTAACCAAATGCCAGGATACATCTAACAGTCGATATACAATACAACAAAGGAATTATAATTTAATTCATGCCTTAAACGACAATAACTGCGTAGAAATGTCCAAAGATGCCACAGTAAAATAAGGGGTAAATACCACTTGGTTTATTAATTAACGTCTCTCCCGTATCATTTCTCAATATATCGTTGCAATTATGATCAGTTGGTAGAAGTACATGAAATGCTCTTATTATACAATCTTTTATATAATTATGCTGTAAAGGATCGATTACGAATTATCAGGCAAATCTGCCTGATGCCTTGCCTGCCTTCTTGTCTACAAGCTAGATGTAACGAGTTGCCCGTTCATCCTATCATATTTATAATCTACTCGACCATTTACCAATAAAACATTTCATAACTTGGGGGTCTGTTGATAAATGCCTCGTCGATGATGTGAGAGAAGAACGTTTGCTTCGACAGAACCTTTAAAATGCAGACAAACTGCAATAATCCATGAAAATCGTGGAGAACGGTTATCCGATATTACTAGTAGCAGACTTTCTATGAACCATACACCCACCAATCAAGGCGAATAACTTCTAGCGCACGGCATCTCACGGCTACCAACAATCGTAAGCCCAAGCTTCTCAATCCCGGCCAACATGCGATCCCATCCTCCCGTCGTAGTTCCTTCGTAAACTCACTTCACCTGTAAATCCTCCTCTTTAAATATGCCACTCTCCTCGTATCCTGAGGAGCTGCACTCGCCCCTCTCAATCTACGGTCATTTCCAATAATGATATAAAGTCCATAAAAGACGAGCAGCCTCGCAACCTCGCAACCTCGCAGACTCGCAACCTCGCAACCTCGCAACCTCGCAACCTCGCAACCTCTCAGCCTCCCATAATCCATTAGAAAGCCCGAACGATATAACAGGCCACGCGAGTGTGAAATCCTCTTAATACCCGGCGCGTTCGAGTAACAGTACACTCATAAAAGACAATGTACGGGCGTGTTAGGCCGCGTGCACTTTCGAGTTGAAAGAACTCGAGGCCACCCACGCGAGGTCCCGGTGGCACGCGGTCGACGTGGGCTCGTGGAATCGCAAAACCAGTTTCCACGTTAGCGCCGCCCCTGACGCGTAAATCATCGGCGAGCGGTGGCTCCGCGTACTTCTGCTTCAGGTCCGAGCTTCCTGGGGCCTGAGAGCGCGAGAGGCTCGTCGGGGAAGGTCCGCTCCCGGCGCCAACCGGTACGTGACCCCCACCCGTCGGTGCAACGACTAATGCGTGGGTAGTGGTTTAATGGATACGCACGCACACGCACACGTGTGTTTGTTAGTTTGTTTGTTTGTTTGTTTGTTTGTTTGTTTGTTTGTTTGTTTTTGTTAGTTTTGCGTGCGTGCGTGCGTGCGTGCGTGCGTGCGTGTGAGTGTGTGTGTGTTAGCGAGCTCGCTGAAGTATCAACAAATTTTTAAATAGATTGCGCCGAGTTTGCGTGAACGTGAATTACAAGTACCCGGCGAGACGACCAACTTGCTCGATGCTCGTTCGCCCTCGTTTGGCATACGGCGATATTTAAGAAATTTTCTACCCAAGTATCGGCGCGATAGTGGTAAATAAAAATTTGGATTGATTGTATGCTGAAGCGACTATCAGCGGCCTTGCATTTTACGATCGAATGTCGCCGCGAGTTATTAGCTTAATTGGATTCGAGTGGATCCTAAATTATCGTATATTTACGCTACATAATGGGATCGGCTAGTTTTGCCAAAATTGACACTGATACTATATCTATCTATCAATCTATATCTATCTATCAATCTATATACATATATATATATATATATATATATATATATATATATATAACGAAATTGCAATGCCGTTACCAATTGATTGACAAATAATTTAACGGTGTAAGCATGGAAACTGTCTTGTTTGTGACGCTTGCAAGTGTATTATTTTAAATAGATGAAATGCATTTTCGAATTTAGTGACTAAATGGCAACGATTAAAGGATACGGTAGGACGAATTGAGGAATTTAAGAGCGGATAAAAAAGTTCGTACCAACCTTTAGAGAAGTAGATTACAATCTCACAAGACAAAGAAATCCATGTGTAAGGAAGAAGGAGTGACAATGTAGTAATGATGATAATATTAATAATTAATGTTTTAATAGCAATTCAAGACATGCCAAATCGTATTATTATTTTTATTTTATTTTTTTTTTAGCTTTTTCTCAGTTACTTTTACCCTTTTTGGCAAATAGTAAAATAATCTTTACAAATTATTCGATATTGAAAGCATAAGCCAAGATGATCTTTGGTAAAATAAACAAAGGAGAAAAACAAAAAAAAACATTAAATACAGCTCGCAAAATTAATATTCACGCCAAGTCGACGTTTTTCATTACATTTGTGCATATTATTAAAATTTATATTTTTCTTTAATCTACTGCGGAATCGGATGTAAAGAGCACGTAGTTGATTATTTTTATTAAATGTTTTGAATTGATGTCTGCTTAATTTTCTCTCAAACTACATCCGCAGTAACAACTACATTCGGTTGCCCCACGTTATTAATAATTACTATGTTATAAAATGATTTAAATTAACTAATCGATGCTAAACTACACTGCAATGGCAACTACAACAAACTAAACACAATACATTATTAACGTTATTCTAAATAATTGGCTGGACTTTTTTTTTATTACACTATATGGATTATTCTAACATTGTCAGTTTTTATTCTTATACATATACGTATGACCTACCACTGACATCAACTGACATCAACTTGATATTTCTTTCAAAAATTTCTGCGAGCAAGATGAAGATGCGACTTGCAGGTTCTGCCTAATCGCCCCCCCCCCTGTACACATAAAGAATGCATAGGATGTCGAGGATTTTGAGAGGAGATTGAATTAGAAGGAATAAAGAAACCGATTGAAGGGAAAGAAGATCTATTCGACGTTTGATTTGCGCTATTTTTATCCATCGCGTTTTTGATTTTGCAATTAAAATTTAATTACCATCGTCTAATAGTGAAGCAAAGTTCTTGCACTTCGTTCCATTGACTTGAACATACAATTTCGCGATTAGAATGACGTTTGTTAGTTTTTTATGCTGCGGTAAAAGCGTAATTTATAATCAAATATCGCCGCCTAAATGTCTC